GGTTGCTGAATCATGGTCCATTGTATGGACGTAGTACGTTTGTTTGTCCCTCTGCGACAGTGCATTCCTATGGCAGCGGCTGAATTCAATTTGCAGTTTTCCTACCTCTTGTTGAATCAGCTTTATTGCATCCCCCTCAGAGATACGAACCAGCTGGCGCCTCTGGCGCCTCCTCCTCAAAAGCCTGGGTCCCTTCTTTAAATTTCTAAATTTTAACTATTCCAACCTCTTCCCTTTTTCCCTCCAATCCTGGGGTTAGTAGCTGTCTCAGGCAGCTGTTAACTCTGTGACCCATTCGAGTTCTGTTTTTGCCTTTTCAGTCACTCGATTCACTATACATATAATTCAAGATTCTTTATATTAGGCTGTCTATGTTTAAATAACTGCAGTGGTTTCTGTCCCTGGACTGTCCCAATGCTAGCCTGTGGCTGAATTGAGCAAACAACTTCCCTGACACTGCTTCCTTGGACCTGATTGGTTTAGAAGAGAGCATGTGAGTCAAGGCAGACCAATCAGTGTCCTTTCTGGAATTTTTTTTTTTTTTTTTTTTTTTTAATGAAGCTTGGCAAGAGGAGGGAGGTGAGTAGTGCCTTTTCCCTCTCTGTTGGTGCAGCTGGGGTAATAGTGGATCTGGGAGCTGTCTGTGCCGGCTGCCCAGGGGAAGGAGCCCTGAGAGCAAGGGGGGAAAACAAGAAACCCACAGGGTATTTCTTCACAATACTGGAGTGCGGGTTCCGGTGGGTGGTCCCTGAAAGCCCCAACTCTGCCTTCCTGAGGTCTGAATGTGTGAGCTAATCTCTCTGTCTTCCTAATAGATGTCACCCCCCTCACCCTACCCCATCCCAACTTAGCTGAGTTGGGTTTCTATCGCTTGCAACCTAAGTATGCGAAATAACATACCGAGTATTGGATTTCTTACCCCTGGATTTGTTTCTCCATAACTTAGATTTCTCCAAAGCCAGTTGACTGTCCACTGCTCTTTCTGGTCTATGTCCAGATGATAGAGGCCCACTGGGGCAAGGACTGAGTCAATGCCACAGGTATTTGAGCCCTAGAGTAAACCATGTGACCTGGTAGGTAGGGGCGGTCTCTCATCCTGGCTGGTGGCTGGTACAAAGGGAATGGCTGGCATAAGGAATCTCATCATTGGCTGGTGCAAGGGCTCAAGTTGGAGCACAAGATCCAGTTTCCATCTTTAACCACAGAGGCAGCGTGCAGCCCTGCAGGGGAGCCAGTGCCATCGCCATGCAGCTAGGAAAGCTCCGTGGGAGGAACCGCCTTTCCCTTGGGGGCTGCTGCTGTGCACACTCTGATTGGCTCTGCACAAATCAGCGAGCCCTAATATGTCAATCTTTGCTATGATTAGTGCATCAGCTAGCACTGCTACCGCCACCCACCCACTGATCTGTAGGTTTTCACAGAGATGCAAATTAGGCAACCCAATGTGGTGGCCCCCTCCAGGAGGTGAGCGGCTCTTGTGTGCTGTTTGTTGACAAGGGGCTGTGGCCAGAACTTGGAATTAGAGTCGTAATTCATATATTCATACACTCTCCGGTGCATTGCCAACTGCAGTGTCTTTCCTCTCTGGTACCTAATAATAACTGAGTTGCCACGCACTGAACACTTACCACCTGCCAGGCACTATGCTAAGCATTTTCCTTGCATTTTAATCTTCACAACTCTGCGAGAGAGATAACCTTTTTAAAAATAAACTTTAAAATTTTAGAACAGCTTTAGATTTATAGAACTATTACACAGATAGTGTACAGAGTTCCTATATACCTCGCACTCAGTTTCCTCTGTTATTACCGTGTTAGGATGGTACATTTTTCACAGCTGGTGATTCAATATTGATACTTTATTGGTTTTGTTTTGGTTTTTTTTTTTTTTTTTTTGAGACAGAATCTTGCTCTGTCACCCAGGATGGAGTGAAGTGGTGTGATCTCAGCTCACTACAACCGCTGCCTCCAGGGCTCAAGCGATTCTCTTGCCTTAGCCTCCTGAGTAGCTGAGATTAGAGGCGCGTGTCACCATGCCTGGCTAATGTTTGTAGTTTTAGTAGAGACAGGTTTTCACCATGTTGGCCAGGCTGGTCTCTAACTCCCAAATTCCTCTGCCCGCCTCGTCCTGCCAAAGTGCTGGGATTACACATGTGAGCCACTCTGCCAGGCCTTGTTTGTTTTGTTTTGTTTTGTTTTGTTTGAGACAAGGTCTCACTCTGTCACCCAGGCTGGAGTGCAGTGGCACAACCACGGCTTACTCCACCTCCCAGGCTCAAGCAATCCTCCTGCCTCAGCCTTCTGAGTAGCTGAGAATACAGGCACACACCACCATGCCCAGATAACGTTTTTTTTTTTTTTTTTTTGTTTTTGTTTTTGTTTTTTGTAGAGCCTGGGTCCCACTACGTTGCCCAGGCTGGTCTCGAAGTCCTGGGCTCAAGCGATGCTTTCACCTCAGCTTCCCAAAGTGTTGGGATTACAGGTGTGAGCCACCATGCCTTGCCAATCTTTTGTTAACTAAAGTCCATGCTTTATTCAGATTTCCTCCATTTCTATATAATATCCTTTTTCTGCTCCAGGATCCCATCTAGGATATTGCAATACATTTAAGCTCCTCTTGGCTGTGACAATTTCTCATACTTTCCTTATTTTGGGTGACCTTGACAGTTTGGAGGAGTACTGATCAGGATATTTTGTAGAATATTCCTTAATTGTAACTTGACTGCTATTTTTCTTGTGACTAGACTGGGTTCGTGTATTTTTTGGGAAGGAGACTTCAGAGGTGAAGTGCCATTTCCATTACGTCATATCAAGGGTACATACTATTAAAACAGCGTATCACTGTGGATGTTGACCTTGACCACCTGGCTGAGGGAGCCTTTGCCAGATTTCTTCACTGCAGCGTTTCTCTTTTCTAAATCCCCTTTCCATACTGACTCTTTGGAAGAAAAGGATTGTGTGAAGCCCACACTTAGGAAGCAGGGAGGTAACCTCCACCTCTTTAAGAGTAGAGTATCGCCCCTTCCCTGAGGTGCTCTGGGGGATGCGGGGCAAGGGGAGGGAGAGCATTAGGACACATATCTAATGCATGTGGGGCTTAAAACCTAGATGACAGGTTGATGGGTGCAGCAAACCACCACAGCACATGTATACTTATGTAACAAACCTGCATGTTCTGCACATGTATCCCAGAACTTAAAGTATAATAATAAGAATTTAAAAAGAGCAGAGTATCTGTAAAAAATTACTTGGAATTCTTATGTGTGGAAGATTTGTCCCTTCTCACCCATGTATTTATTCCTCCAATCACTTATGTGTGTCAATATGGGCTCATGGATATTTATTTTGTATTTTGGGTTATAATCGAATACTACTTTATTACTTTGTTCCTTAACCCTTTCCGCATTTGCCCTGGGAATATTCACTGGTGGTACTTGCAGCTGCAGTGTTTACCTCGAGATAACTTTGCCACAAAATATCTCACTTTTATTATTATTTTTGGATCCCTCTAGTATATGGAATTTGGAAAGAAAAGACATAATTCTACTGATACCATTCTGTTTTTAGTAGTGGTTTTTCCATTTACAAAATATAGTAATTCTCAATCACTGAAAATGTCAAATCCTAGGAAATACAGGATTCCTACACGTGATGTTAATTAACATCGTTCTAGAACAGTTAGTTGTTGGCCGAAGATTAATTTGATGAATCCGAGTTTTCCAAAATAGACAATTCTGATGATTCAGATAATTCTGATGTTAGTTCTGTTTAGAAATAACTCCAAGAACAGTTTTTCTGTTTTATTTTCACATTGAAAATCAGTCAGATTTACTTCAGTCTCAAAGAGCGTGTTTATTTAAAATTAAATGAGCGCTGGCAGCGAGCCGTACTTTTTCTTCCTAAAAGGGAAAAGGATTAAATTGTTCCAACTTTGGCCATTGCTCTTTCAGCTCTTCCCTGTGTCCCTGTGGTGGATTTCTGATACTCCAAGATGCACCAGGCTCATCTTCGATTGATTTATTTCTTTGTCTATTATTTTTAATTGATACATAATAATTATACACATGTATGGGGTGCAGTGTGATATTTCAGTACATGTGTAAAATGTATAATGATCAAATCAGAGTAATTAGCAAATCCATCACCTCAAACACTTATCATTGCTTTGTGTTGGGAACATTCAAAGTCCTCTCTTCCAGCTATCTGAAAATACACAATAAATTATTTTTTATTATAGTCACTCTAGTGCTATAGCACACTACAACTTAGTCCTATCTAGGTAATTTTGTGTCCTTTAACCAACCTCTACCTCTCTCCTCCTCCCCCTTACCCTTACCAGCCTCTAGTAACCACTTTTTTACTCTTCACTTCTACTGATGCCAACTTTCTTTCTTTTTTTTTTTTTTTTTTAGCTTTCCGGGCTCATCTTCCATTCTGCCCCAGCCCTAGAATCAGCCATTTCTCCCAGGGAGCCTAGCTCCTTTTATTGGAGAACAGTACTAGAAACCAAGATCTGGGCACTAGATATGCTCAAGTAGATAATATATTATCCCATCTTACAGAGAAGAAAGCTGCAACTTGGAGAGGTTAAATAACTTGCCCAAAGTCACATGGCTATTTTACTTCTAACTCTGCTCATTTCACTAGAAAGCATCATCTGTCTGCCTCTCTCTTCCTATTTATTAATCTCAAACTAAGCAAAATGTATCCAGGTTGCAGGAAGAGAGAAGACACTGTGCCCACACAACTCCTGCTGCTTGTAAACTGTAAAGCATTATAACCATATATCTATGTCTGTATCTATATATGCATATACATACAGCCATGTGCTTTGTATTATTCTTTTACAAAAGAAAGACAGTGTGTGTATGTGTGTGTGTGTGTGTGTTCCCAGACACACATGCCATGTGCCGTTAGCAACTACATCAAATGGGAATTTGTCCAGGCTCCCTTGCATTCATCCCCAAGGAGGACCACGGCACACACGTGAGCTGAGTCAGGAGTTTCCTGAGCATCTCTGCCAGGCCTCCAGCAGCCCTGGAGCAAGACAGCAGGACAACACTGCTAATAGCACCAGCATTTGCCACCCAGCCTCCCTCTTCCACCTAGGCATGCCATCGGCAACCATGACCGAAGTGTCGGAGGGAGGACTAACTTCTGGAAATTGCCAGGACCCAGCCTGTAATGAAAGAGGATGGGAGACCTGAGAAGTGAGATGCAGATCTGGCCAGAGGAAGTAGGAGAACTGCTGGCCCACAGGTAGGGTTTGGGTCTCTGCTTCCTGTACCAGCTCTGAGGACCATCCAATGTGGGCTGCCACCTATGTGCAACTTTGGAGTCCTGGGGCAATCCATCCCTCATCACTGGTCCTTCCGGCCAGGCCTGGGCCTCTCCCAGTAGTCAGCTTCCTTCCATCCACTACTTCTTTTTACTTCTGATGCTTCTGGTGAATAAGCCCTGCAGTCTTTTCAGACATGCTCAGACCCAGAGTAGCTTTCCATCTACTCCAGCTTGGCTCTGCCCTTGCCGTGTAGGCAGTTTCAGGGTTTGGATACTACAGTGGAGGGCCTGGGGGTGGGCAGTGATGGCTCATGCGCAGGCAGACACTTGGAGCTGAGAGCCGTGGGCTGCCTGCTGTGAACAATAACTGAGATCAAACACGACAAGGACAAGAAGGGATCAGGTTGGTGGCACCACAGATGCCTTTGTCCTTCCCGTAGTCCTCAAACTTTCTTGTCTCATTGAGGAGAAAGCGCAACGAAAATGCCATGAATTCATCAGTCATGGGGGAGATAGACTCATTTCAAGTGAAGTCTTGGCAAGAATGAAACCGCCTTTGCAAAAATTATAACTGAGGAAATTATGACAGTGAAAGAGATCAGACCTAATCAACTCCATCTTGCTTCTAATTTTTAAGCGGTCCTTGTTCATTCCTGGGCATAGGACGAACTAATCTTGTGAAGGAATTTAGTTCACGGTTTGACTCTGAAACAATATTGATAATAGCCCTTTCCCTAAAAGACCCCCTTCTTGTCTGGGGACCAGTCTGCCTTTGTAGGACTAGCAAACTAGCCACAAGATTAGAAATTACGGTTTAGGGGTTATGCAGCCTCTGGCTCCAAGAGTCTGAACCTCCCCAAATTGCTCCTGGGGATAATAACATCACTATTGTAACACCTAAGATGAGTGCTTGAGATATTTTGCAGAACCTGCGCTAGATGGATCAGCTGACACCACCCAGGCTGGTAATCTGGCTCAACCGTTTCTGCCATCCCACCCAGAAACAGAGGACAGCAAGAAAAACTCACTTCGATTCCCTATGATTCCATCTCCAATCTGAGCAGTCAGCCCTCCCCACTTCCCCAGCCTCTACCTGGCAGATTATCTTTTTTTTTTTTTTTTTTTTTTTTTTTCGCCCAGGCTGGAGTGCAGTGGCCGGATCTCAGCTCACTGCAAGCTCTGCCTCCCGGGTTCACGCCATTCTCCTGCCTCAGCCTCCCGAGTAGCTGGCACTACAGGCGCCCGCCACCTCGCCCGGCTAGTTTTTTGTATTTTTTGGTAGAGATGGGGTTTCACCGTGTTAGCCAGGATAGTCTCGATCTCCTGACCTCGTGATCCACCCATCTCGGCCTCCCAAAGTGCTGGGATTACAGGCTTGAGCCACCGCGCCCGGCCCAGATTATCTTTAAAAACTTCTGATCCCTGAGTGCTGGGGGAGATTGATTTGAATAATAATAAAACTACAGGCGGTGGCTCACGCCTGTAATCCCAGCGCTTTGGGAGGCTGAGGTGGGTGGATCACCTGAGGTCAGGAGTTTGAGACCAGCCTGGCCAAAATGGTGAAACCCTGTCTCTACTAAAAATACAAAAATTAGACGAGTGTGGTGGCAGGCACCTGGAATCCCAGCTACTTGGGAAGCTGAGACAAGAGAATTGCTTGAACCTGGGAGGCAGAGGTTGCAGTGATCTGAGACGGCACCATTGCACACCAGCCTGGGTGACAAGAGTGAAACTCCATCTCAAACAACAACAACAACAACAACCACTACCACCTCCAGTTTCTGCATAGCTGGCTCTACGTATCTGCGTGAATTACTCTTTCTCCATTGCAATTCTCCTGTCTTAAATTGGCTCTGCAGTGAGCAAGGCAAACCTATTGGGCAGTTACAAGAGGAAGGATCTGGGGGGCCAATGGGAAACAGCAGCTGCAGAAGCCCCTTTCTGGAGTATGCTGAATCCTTCTCTGGCCTCCCCCGTGAGCAGGGCCTGAGGCTTAGCAGGATCCATAAGGACAAGCTCTGGGGCCATGGAGTGGGGCCTGGCTTTGCAACCTCCCATTTGGAGGCTTGGCTTTGGCTGGCAGGCACTTCTCCCCATTTGGAAATGGAGCCACCTCTGCAGCTGCTTTCCGCTTCCCTCTCTGAATGGCTGGGACCTTCTCCTGCAAGCCTGAGGTTGGGATGCATTCAAAGCACAGGGATCCTGCAGGACACACACCTCAGCTCGCCCCTTGTCCCTTTTCATTCTCTAAGGAAGATTGAGCAGGACACTCATCCTTTCATCCATTCATGCATTCCTTCCACAAACATTTGCCAGAACCCCGCTCATGCCAGGCACTGAGCTAGGTGTGAATGCTTCTTCCTTTCCCAATTACATAGACATGAAGCGTGCAACTAAAATAAGTGCTTCCCAGGGCTTCCTGGAATGGGCTTGTATGGTGGTCCTTGTCCCTTCCAACCCCAGCCCCACACTCTGTCCCCTGACCGTCATTTCATCACATTATTACTCTAGGGACTCTTCAGGTCTTGGTGTTTGAGCAGTGGTAGAAGAGAGTCCACTGTGGCCAGCATCCATGAGGTTGGGAATTACAGAGGTGCGTGGCTCCATTCTTTCTCCCTGTGTGGCATCAGTTGCCACTTTCCCAGTGCTCTGTAGCAGCATGCCACTGGCTGCAGCTGAGGCAAGCGAGAAGCTGTCTTGGGGATGGAGACTGGAACTGTGTCCAGAGTTTGTTCCTTCCAGTGGGTTTGTGGTCTCACTGACTTCAAGAATGAAGCCACAGACCTTCACAGTGAGTGTTATAGCTCCTAAAGGTGGCACAGCCCCAAAAAGTGAGCAGCAGCAAGATTTATTGTGAAGAGTGAAAGAACAAAGCTTCCACAGCGTGGAAGAGGACCCAAGTGGGTTGCCACTGCTGGCTGGGGTGGCCAGCTTTTATTCCCTTATTTGTCCCCACTCATGTCCTGCTGATTCATCCATTTTACAGAGCACTGATTGGTCCATTTTACAAATCTCTAGGTAGCTACAGAGCATTGATTGGTGCGTTTTACACTCCTAGCTACAGAGTGTTGATTGGTGCATTTTACAATCCTCTTGTAAGACAGAAAAGTTCTCCAAGTCCCCACTCAATCCAGGAAGTCCAGCTGGCTTCACCTCTCAATCCCCCCTCTAAACAGGATACCCCAACTGCTATTGGGAATTGGGTGATGACCGCTCTAGCTACTTCCTGCTGGATAGGGGCAAAGAAGGAGCCCTGCAGTTGTAGTGTCCTCCAGAGGGAAACTCTTTAGGCCAGTCAAAGGGCCAGTGGGTTAGTCCAAGGGTCCTCAGTAGAAGTTGTTAGTTGAGCTCATTTGGGGTTCCATTTGTAAGACCATCTGTAGCTTGATGGCCTCAATCCTGGAGGAAAAAAATTTGACAAGGAGGTTAAAAATACAGGGTCCCAAGGTGAGTAATAGCAAGATGGCTGTCATGGGACCTAGAAAGGGGAGAAGCCATGTTGCCCAACTCCAGAAGTTGATATAAGAGTTTGAAAGGCATCTGATTTCAGAAGCCTTTTCCTGTAAATGCCGGCTGGTGTCTCATACTATCCCTGACTGGTTAGTGTAAAAACAATGCTCTTCCTCTAAGAAGGTGCAAAGTCCTCCTTTCTCAGCAGTGAGGAGGTCTAGGTCCTGCTGGTTGTGGAGAGTCACTGCTGCCAAAGAGCCTATTTAGGATTGTAGAGTAAGGATAGATGTTGTTATTTCTTGCAAACTGTCTGAGAAATCATTTGAGAGTGTGTGGTGGTAGGATAATGAAGTAGATAAACTGGCTATTCCCGTTGCTGTAGCAGTCCCATTCCTAACCCTATAAATAGGGGTATTAGTTGTATGGCCCTGCGCTGGCAGACTTGAGTTTTGAGGGGCACTGATAGGGTCTGATTTCCACAAGATTAGAAGTTAGGATAATACATGTTACACTTAACTTTTAGCAAACTTTACTTTTGTTGAAAACCTTGTAAGTTTGGGATTTCAATTGTTCTTTGCTATTAATAAGACCTCGTTCAGTCCATATTTACTTAGAATTGGTATAGATGGCTCTTTCCTGATTCTGTAAGTACTTTAAGGTTTAGTTGAGTGCAAACAGCTTGCATATTTGAGCAGACCAATTATTAGACAATTTTCCTAACTCTGTTTCTACAAAAGTTTCCTTATCACTTACTGAATACCTATTACATCTTTTTCTCTTAATCACCCAGGAGGAACCATCTATCATCCGTCCTGAAAGGAGTTCCTCCTAGATTTGATCGGACCTTTGTACGGTAATTAATTAAGATTTAGATCCCCTGTGAGGAAACCTGCTGGGTTAAGGATTTTTGATAGGAAGGCTACAGGTTGTCAGTGGCCTCAGTGCTTTTGGGCTATGCCCTTGTTTACACTGACAAGAAGGTGGTATTGGAGTGTTATAGGGTCATGGAGAAGACCTTCAATTATCAATTATTCAATTATAAGTTTTAATTTTACCCTGGCTTTTACTACTTCTATCTCTTTCTCTCTCTCTTTGTCTCTCTTTCTTTCCTTCTGACTCCCTCTTTGTCTCTCTGTCTCTTTTTCTTTCTCTTTCCTTCTCTCTTTGACTTTCTGTCTTTCCCCTCTTGCTCTCTTTCTCTCTTTGACTTTTTGTCTTTCCCCTCTCTCTCGTTCTTTCTCTCTTTGCTTATCTTTCCCTGCCTCTGCCAGCTGCTTTTGCTGCTGTTCTCCCTTCTCCTTCCCCTTTTTGATGGCTTCAGCAGTGTAAGACTGCCACTTCCTTGGGTTTTTGCACTGCATGCAATAACTCCCTGGTTTTCTTATGGTACTTAATGGGGGTTCCCCCAGAGGTTAGGAACTCCCTTTCTTTCCATATTGCAGCACGGGTACATAGGATTAGATAAGCATACTTGCTATCTGTATACACATTTATTCTTTATCCATTTCCCAGTTCTAAGGCTCTGATAA